ATGCAATAGAACATGCATTGAACAGACAATTCCCATTGGCAAACAATCAAATTTGAGGCAAACCCAGTCTTTTTCCCACACACCTTCTGCATTTTAGCTTCTCGTGATGAGGTCAACGTGTTAAAATAATCTTTTTGTCTATACATACATATTGGTTTCTTTGACACAGAAAAAAATATGCCGGAAGTTTTTTTATGGCACATAAAACGAAAATGCTGACGCTTATTCTTCCTGTTTGTTGTTTGTTTACAAAATATAAATGTTTACTTTATCTTATAACAAATACGAGAAAAAAAATTGTGGAACAACTATAGTAAATGGTTTGAATCTGGTACTATATTCTATAGTTTGTGAAAGTTAGTGAAGTTCCAAGAAGAACTGTTGATGATGATTTTAGTAAACATCGTTTTGATCGCGTTAACTAGCAATTTTTATTTTAACGTGTGACTATCTCTAACAGTCAGTATTTTATTAATCTGGTGCATCAACTTTCGAAAACTTGAGCCATTTTTAACAAAAAGACATGTTTTAGTTACCATACCAAAAGCATCCATCTTTTTTTTTGTTGTGATTTTTATTTTCTATTTTTAAGAACTTCATAAACAACTCGAGGACAAAGAATACGTAGTTGAGTTTGATTTTCTGGGTAAAGATTCCATTCATTATCACAACTTTGTACCTGTTGAAAAAAAGGTAAAATTTAGTTGTGATGTAAGTTTAATGTTGTAAGCATTTCTTATTTTGAGAAAAATGAAGAATGGTTTGTGAGCCTTGATCATGCATATAGTTGGAAGTGTTAAGATAAAAGTGTAGATATCAAAAACAGTTTTTAGCCTTTTCAGTTTACTTATTTTTGTGTTCAGTGAATCTAATATATAATTTCTCATGGGATTTCAGCATTTTAATTTACTTTCTAATGGTGTTTAGTCATTATAATTTACTTCATATAAGTGTTTTGCCATTCTAATTTATTTCTAATTAGTGTTCAGCAATTCTATTTTACTTTCTATACGTAGGTGTTTAAGAATTTAGAATTGTTTCAGCAAGGGAAAACTGACGGAGATGACCTGTTCGATAGGCTGACTGTGAGTTGAGAAGTTTAAAGCTATTGCTTCCATTATTTGCTGTCGATTTACATTCAACATTCGCTAATTTATTATTAAAATATCTATTGACTGAATCTAACTCATAGTCTGTATTCTTCCTCAGACAACATCATTAAACAAACATCTCTCAGATCTAATGGAAGGCCTCAGTGCCAAGGTCTTCCGTACATACAATGCATCAATGACCTTACAAGAACAGCTGGATAAACTTGAGTTAGAAGATAATGTTGCAGCAAGAGTATTGGGTTATAATCGCGCAAAAAGAGCTGTCGCCATCTTATGTAACCATCAGGTGTAGTGTTGTGAACATGGACTGCATGAAAAATTTTGTGTTAAGACTTAAGAAAAAATTTTATGGTTGTGAAAAGTAAAATGCGAGGACAGTTAATTTTAGTTATGATCGTGTGTTAACTATGTTTACAATTTACTTTAAAGCTTTACGTTCGTTCTCTCTTGTGTGGCGATCCGTTCCAAAGACGTTTGAACAATCCATGTCAAATCTTCAGCAAAGGTAAAGTCTGCTTGTGGATATTCCACCTTCACGTGATAAACACGTGATATCATACGTGACAAGTAAGATTATGTAGATCAAATAATGTTTGTTGAAATAGATTGACGACAAGAAAAAAGCCATAAAGGATGGTAATGTTGAACTAAGGGATCTTAAACGTGAAGCTAAAGGAAGCGATTCAGTAACACTTGCAAAGTATGTGTCTTTAAAATACGACGCTAAAGAAACCAGTAAACTTCAATATTTCCTAAGATTCTCAAAGTCAAACTCTACAAATGGGACTGAGAAATATTTTGCAATGTACCTTACCATATGTCCTACAAGATGATAAAACTTGTATTTCTATGCATTAGTGTTGGAGTTGATATGTTTGATGCCGTGATAAAGGATTTTAAACAACTGTTTTTTTAAGGAAAATCGAAAGGAAAAAGGTCGCCATAGAACGTTTAAAGGAACAATTGTTTAAACTGGAAGTCTCACAAACAGATAAGGTATGTATTCGCTGTTACATGTTACAGAATTGGTTGAATTTGTTCTTTAAGTCAATTTGTTCTCTGATTCGCTACAAGTAAATGCATGCTTGGTGTGGCCAGATATCGTGACTTTTATTACCAGATCCGTTCTGGTGAACTTAGACAACCACACCTGTTCAGCTTTACATAATTTCATATGGTGTATCCTTTTCTTGCTTTAGTTAGCACGCACATTTTAAATCACTTACATATCCCGTCTTTTTAGTATATCAATATTTATTGTGGATGTTAGTCATTACTGTTGCATTATAAAACAACGTCTGAGAAGCCTTTTGTATTGACTTTGTATTACCAAATGAAATATCATGTTTCTATAAAAGTCCAAAAACCACTTTGAAAATATTTTTTGGCCATTCATATTTATTGTTGTCTTCACAATGTTCTGCTGTTGTTGATTAGAATGAAAATAAGAAAATTGCTCTTGGGACATCCAAGTTAAATTATCTTCATCCGAGAATATCGATTGCTTGGTAAGGTCCAAATATCTTCATATCCATCATATTAAAATTAAAAATCGTAGTTTATTGATTGATCTGATGTTAACTTGAATTCTTGAACTGTAAATGTATGATTTAGGTGTCTGAAGAACGATGTCCCTATTGAGAAAATTTACAATAAAACGCAACGTCAAAAGTTCGCTTGGGCTATTGATATGACCGAGAAAGACTTTGTTTTTTGAAAATTTAGTCTATAGTTAGTGACAATTTTAACTCTTTGTGAATTTACCATTTTAACATATTCTAATTGGACAATTTTAACCTATTTATGTCATTCCTAATTTTGTTTGAAAGCAGACAATTAAGGTTATTCTTTTGACGTAAAATCAAGAGTATTTGTTCAACTGACAATCGTGTGGTAAATACCTACATCAGAATTACAGTTCTCTTTCTATCTTTGCCATTGGCTGTGCTCAATTTTATTCTATTTTTCCCAATTTAAATATGAACATGCTTTTTGTCGTCCTAAATCACCACATAGCAATGCCTGACGTTGTATATTGTTTATTTGTTTTTGTCTCTTGTTATAGTTTGGTCATAGATACATGCATGACCTAACCTAGATTACGTAAAAAATTTTTTAAAACGCTTAAATTCTATGTACGCCTTATTTTTACTATTATGATTTTCCGACAACTTTTCAAAAAGACGACATGAACAGCATTTCCAAAAGGCGGCATGAACGACATTTTGAAAAGAAGACATGAACGACATTTCAAAAAGTTGTTCCCATACAACTGTAACATGCACAAAATCTTGTTAAGGCTCACAGCACTATATGTTGGTGACGTCAAGTTTACGTCACTACACGACTTGTTTTCCTACATAGAACATGACTTGTCTAACAATGTTATAGCTCGACATGAACCTCAAGTGAATCCCTTTCTTCAACTTGGCAATAATGATGTCATGGTTACAAAGCATAAGTCAAAGTAAATTATAAAACACATCATCTTGTAAACTCAAGATTCGATTTAAGAAAGCAAGAGACAAGATTTAAAGCAATATTTTGACTTTATTTCAAAGACATTATCAAGCTAAATCAAAGAAACTATGTAACGTGAGCCCAAGGCAATAGACTGCAATAAATATTATTCTGTCTCAAGCTCTTGACATGTAATATGCTTGGCATGTTTCTCATATCGCCGAGTGGTACAGTAGTTGGTGCAGTGGCCTAGCTTTTCCACGCTCAAAACCGCGTCATTTTGTGTAACTGATCACTATTTTGAATCCCAGGTGCATTTGTTTTTCAAATTTGTCGTTAGAACTCATGTTAAACTCCCAGTAGCAGATGCGTTTTTGTGTTTGTAACAAAGATATGTAATACATGCACGTATCTGACACTATTTTACGCAATGGTGGGCTTCACAAAACGAGGGGTAAATCAATAATAGATAAACATTTATGTCTATTTCGTTTGCCAAAGTAAAGACGCGTTCTTCTATATAAACATTTGGAGAGTTCCTTTTCTTCAGTGGGTGCTTTTCATCCCACTTTCTAACTACAAAAGTTTGATTAAATTTTTCTAGCGTACGAAGGTGATGATTTCAATTACGGATGAAATAAACTCACTCTTTATGCTTTAAAATTATACTGGAAGCCGTTGGAATAATTTACATCTATAGTAATAAGATAACGGAATAATGAAATAACGACCGTGAATGAAATTTAAAAAGTGTTAAATCAATGTATAGTCATGTGATTCATGTATTCATGTGATAATGCAGTCAACTTTCAATCATAATGTTTGTAATAAGTCTTGTATTTAATTCCGGGCTTAGATAAACACAGGTTCTTATATACATTACACATGCATATTAGATAAGGAATTACCTACGTCATTAAAGTATATAAATATAATTAGGCATCCAATGTCACATCTCTTTTTCTTCGGTTTTTTTAAATAATTTTACACTATAAATGTCTTTAACTTATTTTTTATCTAATAAGAATATCTATTAGGTTTTTTGATTAGACGTCCATACCGAGTTCTTATATTAATGTTGTTAGTACTTTCATTACGATTTTTATAACATCTATTGTTCTCACTATAAGACTTATCTGTATTTTGACTTCTCGATTCTTCGTTAATCTTTAATAAATGATTTCTATTCCTTCTATAGTAGGTACCATCAGACGTAACCAAATACGATCTTGGTTCAAGTAACGATTTTTCCACGATTCCTTTCTTTTGGAAGCCTTTTTCTGTTTTTATACGTACCTTATCTCCTTCTTTTAATGGTGGAAGTGTTTTTGCATTTCGATCATAAAACTCTTTTTGTTTCTTGTGATACATTTCCAATTTTTCTTGAACATTCACAGGGCTTAATGGTTGAAATTCAAGTAACTTCTCTTATATTGGTAGTAATGTCCTAGTTCTTCGTCCCATTAGTCTTTGAGCTGGACTGCCAACAATTTCATTTCTAGGTGTATTTCTATAATTAAGGAGTCCTAAATAAGGATCGGTGTTATCATATTTTGCTTTCTTTATGATTGCTTTTGCTGTCTGTACAGCACGCTCTGACATGCCGTTACTTTTTGGATATCCAGGTGAACTTGTTGTATGTTTAAATCCATACTGTGACGAGAATGCACGAAATTCTTTACTCCTGAATTGTGGACCATTATCTGTTATAAGATCTTCGAAAATTCCGTACCTCGCAATTTGAGATTTCATCTTTGTGATAACTGTCTTTGATGTTGTATTTAACAAGTAATCAATTTCAAAGAATCCACTGTAGTAATCTACCATAAGAAGATAGCTTCTACCATTCAATTCGAACAGGTCTGCTCCAACTTTACTCCACGGTCGATGTGGTACAGTATGTGATTGTAGAGGCTCCTTTTGTTGATGATTCTAATGGGCATTGCAGATTTCACACTTTCTAACTTCTGCTTCTATTTCTAAGCTCATCTTTGGCCAATATAAACACTCTCGAGCCCTACGTTTGCATGATTCAGATCCAAAATGTCCTTGATGTATAGCTTTCAACATATCAGTTCTTAATGACTCAGGAATTATTGCTCGATCTCCTTTAAACAGTAGATCATCTTGTACTGAAAGAGTCTCTTTAAAGTCCCAGTAATTCAAAACATCCAAATCGACTTTACTGCGTAGATCTGGCCATCCATTTTCTACGTACTGTCGTAGCATTTTCATTACTTTATCTTTCTTTGTCTCTTCCTTCAATTGGTTCATTTTTTCTTCACTTACTGGCAAGACAACATTTATCTCAAAATCTTCTAAGTGATCATCTGATTCTTCTTGGATATACGCTCGACTTAATTGATCCGCGAGATAAAGTTCTGCTCCTTTCTTATACGAGACTTTCAAACTGTACTTTTGAAGTTTCAGCAACATTTTCTGGAGTCTCAATGGAGATTGATGAAGGGGCTTCTTGAAAATCTGCTCTAAGGGCTTATGATCTGTTTCAACATTGACATCTCTGCCATAGATCTAATCATGAAATTTTTCACATCCAAATACAATTGCAAGTAACTCTTTTTCAATTTGTGCATATTTCTTTTGGCATTCAGTTAAAGCTCTCGATGCATAAGCAACTGGTTTGCCATTTTGAAGACAAACTGCTCCTAAACCTGACATACTTGCATCTATGGACAATGTCACATCTTTTGATACATCGTAGAATTACAATACAGGATTCTCTCCACAGGATTTCTTGATTCTGTCATACACTATTTGATGTTGATCTAACCAACACCAATCATTTTCCTTCTTTAACATATCTCTGAGGAGACTTGCCATTTCTGAAAGATAAGGAATAAACTTGGCCAAATATTGAACCATTCCAAGAAATCTTTGAAGATCTTTCTTGTCTTTAGGAATTGGCATGTTTAATATTGCTTTAACCTTTTCAGGATCGGATTGAAGACCATCTGACGTTATTTTGTGTCCCATGTAATCTACATTTGTTACTTTAACTTTTGTTTTTTTCTTTCTTCAATTTGAGAATGATTTCACGAGCTCTATTCAGCACATTGATAATTCTTTTATCATGCTCTTTCTCTGTTGTTCCCCATACTAAGATATCATCCATTATAATTTCACAACCGTCTATTCTGTCAAACAGCTGGTGCATAGCTTTTTGGAACACTTCAGGTGCTGAGGATATACCAAATGGGAAACGATTGAATTTGTATCTGCCAAAAGGCGTATTGAATGTATAAGATAACTGGAATCTTCAATTAGAGGTATCTGCCAAAATCCATTGGCTGAATCAAATACGGAGAAAATTTTAGCTCCAGGTAGTCTTGATACGACTTCTTCTATTGTTAAGAGAGGGTAATGTTCTCGCTGAATGGCTTCATTAAGATGTCTAGGATCAATACATATTCGTAACTTGTTTGGTTTTCCACTGTTACCATTGACGAAACCCATTCCGTAGGTTTTTCTACAGGATCGATGACACCCATCTGTTGCATTCGTTCTAACTCTTCTTTAATTTTCGTTCTCATAGCTACTGGAACGCGTCGAGGAGGATGAATTGTAGGTTTTACATTTGGATTGACACTGATATGATGTTTAATGAGTAAACATCCTAGTTTGCCATCGAAGAGATCTGCATATTCATTGAGAATATCGTCCCTAGTGAAAATAGGTTTGACATCTTTAATTCTTTTCACCATACCCAAACGCTCGCAATCAGGTAAACCTAGATTAGGCTTTACATCGTGTGTCGCTATATAGAAAAGAAGATTGTATCGTTTGCCTTTGTGAGAACACGTCATCACTGCTTGTCCCAAGGTTTGAACTGAATCTCCACTATTCCACATTAGCTTTGTATTTGTTTTGGTAACTTGTTGCTCAGCTTCTTTGACTTTATCGAACAATTTTTTAGAAAGCACATTACATTTTGCGCCTGTATCCACCTTCACGTTCACCAAATGTCTGCCAAACTTGAGTTCAGAATACCACTCGTCTTTGCTTTTTTCTACAGCTTCAATATTCATTCGATAGTCGACTTTCGAGCTTGTGCGTTGTTGCGTAGGTTTGATTGCATTAACAGCACCAATAAACAATTCTTCATCACTAACTTCATGAACTGTTCTTTGTGACTTTAGTGTAGACGTTAGACACACCCGAGCAAAGTGGTTTTTCTTATGACATTTGTGGCAAATTTTTCCAAAAGCTGGGCATTGCTTTGGAAGATGTTTTCCTCCACAGTTTCTGCAATTGTTCTTTAATACGAATCTTTGTCCTCGATGTTTATCTTCTTTTGTTTGACTTAAGTTTGTGTAACTTCCTCTTGAGGTTTTCAAATTCTTCCTAGCCTTCAGTTCATCGACATCTTGATAATTAGTAAGATCTTTTACTTGTTGTTCCGACAATTCGTTTGCACTGCATATGTTTAGAGCCTTGTCTAAAGTTAAACTTGTTTTGCGTATTAGAATATTTCTTACTGCATCACTGTTAATCCCACACACAATACGATCTTTAATGAGTTCGCTCTCGAGGTCACCAAACTCGCACTTTCGAGCAATGTTTTTCAAATCCGTAACAAAGGAACTAATCGACTCTGACAGACTTTGCTTCTTTGTACGAAATAAATGTCTTTCGAATGTTAAATTCTTAAGCGGCATACAAATTTCTTCAAATTTCTTCACTAGAATTTCTGGATCGTCTTTGTCTTCCTCTTCGTTGTAGGTAAAAGAATTATATCTTTCAAATGCATCTTCGCCAGCTAGATTTAAGAGGATGCATGACTTTTCTTTCTTTGATTTCCGACTATGTCCTGCAGCAACAATGTATATTTCATAGTTCTGTTTGAAGCGACGCCAATTCTCAGCAACGTTGCCTTCAAACGAGAGTCGTGTTGGCCTGGAAAATCCTTCTGCCATTCGATAAGAACAAACTTTTCCTAATCGCTACCACCATGTAATAAGTCTTGTATTTAATTCCGGGCTTAGATAAACACAGGTTCTTATATACATTACACATGCATATTAGATAAGGAATTACCTACGTCATTACAGTATATAAATATAATTAGGCATGCAATGTCACAATGTTTATACGTTCGACATAAAAAAAATTCAAAGACATAATGACAGCGATGCATTACACCATTAAACCGACTGCAAACATGTACGTTGTCATTATCTACAATGACAATGCCATATACTGTGCATAATTTATTTGTCTTCTTCTTTCAAGTTATGAAGGAAGTTATCTAAGAAAGCAACAGTTTTATACAGTGAGCACCAAGTAATTCCCTGTCTTTGTCTGTAAAATGACTGTGACGAAACATTGCCTAAATATACAAAATCCTTAGTTATAAAAGAACACAATAAATGTTATTTTGTGCATTTACTTCTTATTTTTTACTCGGTTAACATGTCTCTCGGTACAGTGATCTAAATTTTCATGCGTTAAAACAAACTTTTTTTATTCTTTCCAATGTTGAAAAATGGTCGTATTGTGAGACAAAAGGCATGTTGTTATTCTTGACTAGAATGTGTGAGCTGTTAAAAACCGTACGAAGTTGCGAGCCTTGCTTCATGTCCACAGTTTTCAGATGGTCATTAATGCTTTTGTCCTGTTAGGCTTCCTGATTGTATTAGTTCAGCTACTGATGGACATTAAAATACTTAGAGGAGGCGAGTGATTGGAAACATGTTTTCAATTCTATTTTGCTTGACAATTATTTTGTCGTATAGATGACTTGCTGTGTTCACGTTTTGCTGGCAGGCAGATTCGGTCAAGTGTTTTTAGGCAACACTAGTAACAATGCTTTACCTCCATTGGAAGAAATGTGTCTGACAGCCAAACGTAAACAAAGCAAGACATCTTCGATCTTTTTTTTGCAGTTTACTATCATTACGTGTCTATTGAGATTCTCCATTATGCAAGTATTGACCGTTTGGGATTTTTCTTTATTGAGGTTAGCTTTGATTAGGAATATTTGCAATCATTGAAGTCTTCGAATATCTTAACTCACCAACCTCAACAAGAAGGTCTACGCTTATGACGTGGCAATTTTTTTTATCTCAAACTCGAGTTGCTGCAAAAAATCTACTTAACCTAGTCTATTATGTTCAGAGACAGCTGCATTTCAGTACTTCAATGCGGTTGATAATTTTTGTCTTTTTTTATACATAGGACTGTAATGCTATTGTTGTCTGTGTTTCATTTGCATTAGATGTGGAATACAGGTATGGAAACCATTTGAGATACCTCATCATCACACAGATCACTCCCTTATTAACTATGCTAATTCGATGCTATTGAGAGAGCTTTGCCTTCATGAACAACTACATTATTTACAGCTCAACCAAAAAAATATAAACATAGTTATAGAGCTTCCAGCTTATATTATCTTTCAATTCTGATTAGTTAACACTTAAAAGAATCCCGATAGTGATAGGCCATAGAATATGTTTTAACTCCTCTAGCAAGTAGTATGTACCTATTTTATTATTAACTGTAAAGTAGTACAAGGCCCCTAGATGTTTCTGCAGTTTCCCTAACACTTCCAGCTAGTAGTGAGCTATGACGTGAACCTGCTTCCAATATGTACCTGCTTAATAAACTCTTTTCTTTTCAGCGGCAATACTGATGTGTAGGATGCTGTTGGTTTTTTCATCCTTTTACAGCTTTGGAGAATAGTTAGAATTATAAACGTTCAGTATGCTTATTGAATATCTTTAAGAAGCTGCATTTGTTGATTCTGTTTTGGTTTACAAAGAATTTTTTTTATTTCCTAATTTATTTGGTTGTTTAATTGATTGCTCTGTCTGTGAAAATTGAAATGGACCACAAAAAATATAACTTAAAAAAAAGAAATAGATCACTTGCAAATGCAAGTGGACAACTACAAAGTGAAATGTGAAGAACAAGAGGTACCGAACAAAATCTTTCTTTATCATTACTTGGATGATTGTCTTCTAAAAGATTTCCTTTTGATATACTTGACTTAAAAAATGGTTAGAAACACGACTTGAAAATCTTATTTTTATGTATTTTATTCATTGGAAATACAACTATACATATAATATACATTTATTAAAGATGAATACTTTTGTAGAAGAATAACTTTGTTGTCAGCCACGCTTAAGTAGAAATGTTTAAAAACTACAGTTTAGTACAATGATGACCTTCACAGAGGTTTTTGCCTTAAACTTTCTACTCTCTGAATACTTTGTATATCATAAATTTGCGTTTGTATCATTAATAGTGGGAATTCGTTTATAAAAATTTCGATTCGAAAGGATTTTTTAATGAATAAACTCGTTTGTTTATAATTATTATTTATATTTCACGAGACAATCAAATAGTGAGAAAATCATTGAAGTTTATCATTGTTTGTTACAGTTTTTACTGTTTACAGTAAATGTTGTAAGGTTAACAAAAGAATTAAACAATTGAACAATATTAAAAAAAACAAATAAATTAACAATATATGTTTACAAATCTAACTATACTTTTACTCTAAACAATTAATTAATATAAAGCTAAGTAGACATACTTCAAAATTGTTTTTATATTAAGGAACGTTTACATGAAAGGAAAGTCCCATGATGTAAAAATTTTTCACTTACTTTTTTCATAAAACATATGAAAGTTTAAATAATAAACTTTAAATCAGGAAGTGGAATGCTTATAGATATGCATTAAGAGTCAGAGCTCGAATCCGAGTCAAAGTACTGCTCAGTAAGATACAATTCACTAATTAAGATACAATTCAGTAAGTTTACTATTTTCACTTTTCAATGCTTCACTAAGATATTTAGCACCTTCATAACCTATAATGTTACCCGTCATATACAATTTAGTAAGTTTACAATTCTCACTTTTCAATGCTTCACTAAGACATTTAGCACCTTCATCACCTATACTGTTATCACAAAGATACAATTCAGTAAGTTTACAATTCTCACTTTTCAATGCTTCACTAAGATATTTAGCACATTTTTTACCTATTTTGTTATAATCAAGATTCAATTCAGTAAGCTTACAATTCTTACTTTTCAAAGCTTCACTTAGATGCTTCCAAAAATAATTGCCTAAAGCACTTATAAAAAAGGTTAAACTAATCAAATTTTTCGCTTTCTTATTTAACAAATAGTTTTTTATTGGTAGACAGCTATAATTATCAAGAAACTTGCAATCGTTAAAAGAAAGCCCTTTTATGTGCTCACATTCAGAAAGAAATTCAAACAATGCGTTTGAATCAACAGGCGTAAAAGAAACTCCATCAATCTGCGTTTTTTGAGAAAAATTCTCTAACTCCGTACAAGCTGACCTCATGACATCTTTGTCCTGCAACTCGTATAGGCACATTACTCCAAGAAAACCAAGGACTTTATCTCCAGTAAGGGAAAATATGTTTGAAATCCAATTTTTAAATCTACAAATTTATAACACAAATATTATTTTCAAACCGGTTTTTTGTTTAACCAAAGGTCGTAGGCTAAGTAGCTACTGTTGCATGACATGAATTCGATTTTCTAATGCAACAATTCAAGGTCCGTTTTAAACATCGCAATTTACATCTGCTAAATGCATTCGAAATAGAAATGATGAAAAAAATCCTCATTTTCTTTTGTTTGAAATTAACGGGCCTAAAAATCTGAAGCAATCATTTAGTAAACAGGTAAAGGATTAAAGTAGCCAGTAAAATTATTAAAAAAACAAATTTTGTTCAACATATGGCGTGTTACAATGCATCTTAATTTTTTAAAAATAAAGTGTTTTCTATAAAAATCATCGACACCAGTCACTTAATTTTTTTCTTAAGTTCAAAGAGGCTCTTTGCATCAATGATATTAATCCTGATCTAAATGTTGAAATTTTTCACTGGCTATAAAACTCTCTTTTTATCATATTTAATTTAAATAATTTAATAAATGTAATTAAATAAAGATCCCATTCTTAATACTAACCAATCTGCAATAACGATGACATTTTCATACTGTCGAAACGTGTTTGCATTGAAATATAATTTTCTTATTAAATGTTATTAAACATTTAATATTTCTGCTACTTAGAAATTAATTCATGAAGATTATGAGCAATGAAAATGTAGTATGAAAAAATATCATAGTGTTTTTTTGTAAAAATTGCTTTAATAATGCCTTTTGTAAATATGATAGGAGGATTTCAAACAGTAGCTAAGTAAATTAAAAAACACCGAATATTCAAGATAAATTTTCAGTTCTCAAGGTAACGTTTATAAATTCCAAATTACTTTTTTAACGTAAAAGTCAAATTACTTTTTAACAGAGCATATTTTACATGATAGCAACTACTATCAAGAATAAAGACTAGCGGTTGTACTCAGACAGAGGAGATAGGTTTTACTCAAACTTGTCAATATTATTGTTAAGACACTTATCTACTTTAATAATTACGCGTTGATAAATAAATTATTTGAGGAATATAACTGGTTCACACTATCTTTGTTGTGTGCGGAAATAGAACCAAAATTAATAATTAGTCTTTCAGGACCACGCACGCAACAGCATACAAACGACATGTTATGATCTTATTTTATTTAACATTCATTATTCATTTTACAAATATTGAGGAAAATATTTAGCAGACGTTGACACCTGAAGAGTAGTCTGCCGAAATGCATCGTGTCGTATAGTTTCATAAAACTTCTTTTAGAAATATTGGGTTAGTGCTATTTACTAAAAAAACCTCTTTTAAGAAATATTAACTTATTAATTTTACCATTCTTCAAAACGATTTTCAAATTTGTCACACCGATAAAGTCTCTATTTTACTATTAAGCTAATATGTACAATTTTTTAACCTATTTTCTGCTAAAGCATAGGGCACCACCAATGGCTAATTAACAAAGGGTCCTCCATGGTTGTGTTACGCCACTGAACTC